ACGTATCTCTGAGGAAACTTCTGTTTAGTTTAATCGGCCTTTCTAGGAGTCTCTTCATCTTCAGCTGTACCCCTCAATTCCTTGAGAAGTTGCCACAAACATTCGGAAGTTCATCTCCCTGAAGCTGCCCTGGGGCCCTGCTCCACATCAGCCCATTATGCATACAGTCTGAATCTTTTTCTCCTTAGGCCTTGTGTTTCTCAAGCCTGAGGGCAGAGGGGAGCATACAGACGGGGCACATTGATAGCAATCTAAGGGCAGTGGGAGAGGCAGGAGTCCCATGGATCGCAGCTTGGGCCATGGAGAGCTCAGCAGCGGTGCATTAAGGAGCATCTGCTTTGAGCCAACAGTGCCAGACACTTTGGGGGAAGGAAGGAATATATGAAAATGAGGACGGCCTGGCCGTGGCCATCTCAGGAGCTCACAGAAGAAGTGGGGAACTGGAGGTGGAACAGCTCTAATGAAAGTGCAGTTGAAAGATTGTTAGAACACAGGAGATGGAGGGAGTAGTCCCTTGCTTGCAGGAAGGATGAGAAATCAGGAAGGCTTCGTGGAGGTGGCAGCACTTCAGCTGCCTTGGCAGATCGAATTTTAATAGGTCCAACACCTGCTCAGAGCTGGAATCTTAGAGGTGCTTAATAAATGTACTTGTTGAACATGGCCTCAATGGATGGATGAGGGGACAGATGGAGCAAGGCAGAGCTAAGCTCCAGATGTGCACAAGACAGCGCAGTGGCCCTGAAGGTCAAACAATGGGACCTGCTCCGTCCTGGCTTAGGAGTGGGGAGGTTGCAGCCCTGAGCTCCTCCATTCTCCCTAGGGCTGGTCTCCTGGGGATGGGCAGGTATGGAAGGCTTCAGGTGCAGTGGCAGGTGAGAGCACTGCCCCTCTGATGGGAAGTGTCTGGGGGCTAGGGGAGCCCTCATGGCTGCTCTGACCCTGGTATGGCTGGGGCTGTTGCAGGAGTGGGCAGATGCCTGCTGCAGGGGACTCCGGAGTGTCCACGCCTACATCCTGGTCTACGACATCTGCTGCTTTGACAGCTTTGAGTACGTCAAGACCATCCGCCAGCAGATCCTGGAGACGAGGTGAGAGGCTGGAACACAGTCCATTGTCACCTCTGTGGATGCCCCAATGCTAGCCAGTCCCTAAGAAAAGGGGACAGTATGGGGACACAGATAAAAGTATATATGCTCTAGGATTCCCACACATACACTCAAACATGCACACATTGTGCTGTCCCCATTTCTGTTAACTCATTTTGGGACCCTGGCTGTGGGAGTGGCTAGAGTAGTTAAGAACAGGGCCTTCTGGAACAAGACTTCCAGGGCCACTCAGCTGCCTGACTTGAAGCCAGTGATCATTTAAGCCTGTGTCCTCATCGGTAAAATGGGGATAACAGTAATACCCACCTTTTAGATCAGTTGTGCTGATCGGAGAATATAACACCTCCAGGGCTTAGGACGGCGCCTGGAACAGAACATACAGTGGTGTAGTATTGGCCAGGCACAGCCTCCCCTGCTGGGCGTTCAGCGGTTGTGAGACTGGCAGAGTTCTGAGCTTCCTGCCTCGCCCCGCAGGGTGATCGGCACCTCGGAGACGCCCATCATCATCGTGGGCAACAAGCGGGACCTGCAACGCGGACGCGTGATTCCGCGCTGGAACGTGTCGCACCTGGTGCGCAAGACCTGGAAGTGCGGCTACGTGGAATGCTCGGCCAAGTACAACTGGCACATCCTGCTGCTCTTCAGCGAGCTGCTCAAGAGCGTCGGCTGCGCCCGCTGCAAGCACGTGCACGCGGCCCTGCGCTTCCAGGGCGCGCTGCGCCGCAACCGCTGCGCCATCATGTGACCCCCGCGCGCCCTGGCCGGGCGGAGGGCAGGGCCGTGCTGGGCTGCTTCCCCGCGCGACTGCGGGGCCGGAGCGGGGGGCGGGAGGGAATGGAACTGTGGCGGTCCCTGCCTGAGGCCCCTGCAGCCACGCACCTCCCGGGGAGAGGCAGAGCGCGGGTAGCTGCTCGGCCCTTCCCCTCGCCCCCGAGGCTTCCTGGGACAGCCGCCTTCAGTGCTGTATTTCGCGCAGTGCCCGGCCCGACCCGCGGGGGTGCCACAGCCTTTTGGGATGGGGGTGAGCGTGCAATGGAGGGTGGGGGTGGCGAGATGTCGCCTTGGCCGGGCCCCCACCTGTGTTCTCCAAAATGTGTCTGCCTTTGCCCTTTCCCGTGTCTGTCCGCCCAAGCGTCTGTGGGTCCTTACCTGTCTCACCCACCCTCCAGTCCCCCCGCCCCAGCTCCGCTCACAGGGCTCTCATTTCGTCCATTCCCTTGTCGCAGATCCTGGCAGCTTCTTTGTGAGGCCAGGCCTTCTGGCTGTCAGCACCACCGGCACAGGGCAGAGCGATGCGGGTTGCCCAAGGACCACGATCAAGGGGTCCGGAGGCTGAGGTCCCAGATCAGTGAGGGGAGAAAGTTGAGCTCTCCAGCTTCCAGGGAGACCTCCCCGTCCAGCAGCCCCCAGAGACACAACAACCTACCTTCCAGCCTTAACTCGATGGTCCTTCCCTGCCAGGTGCCCCTCACTCTTCCTGACCCCAAAGCCAGATCAGCCCCTGGGTTAAAACTTTTTTTTTTTTTTGACAGAGTGTGGAAAGGGGATCCCCCAAAGGATCGCTTCTTTTCCATGACGCCGGGTTCCAGTCCTCTGTTCCCTCCTGCATATTGCAATCTGCTCTGTCAGACTGGGGAATGTTGGGTTCTGAGCACTGGTCGTGGGCAGGATGGTGCCCAGAAGGGGGTCAGGTTGTGCCAGGGAAGATTCTGTTGCCCCATCTGACCCCCATTTGACTACCCCAGACTCTGCCTGCCTCAGATCTCAGACTACCCTGATTAATCTGGGGAAGAACAGAGCCAGGGAAGGAATCGTGGGGACGCCTGTGCTTGGGGGAGACACGCCTGCATCCTTACCCACAGATGGAGGCCCTCAGGATCTGACAACCTCTTGTCCCAACACCAGTCAGCCCTATGCCCTAACTCACTCTGCCCCATTTTCTCCGGCTGCCTGGCCGGGTTTCTACCTCTCGTCACCGGAGCTGATCACTGTCAGTTTTGTACCGATTTAGAAATAATAATGATGAAGAGTCTAGGAATGGCCTGAGGGATTGATGGCGGACTTGGAGGGAGGGAGAGGTGGTGCCCTGTCCTCTGCCCCACTGGCCAAAGAAAGCTGTCCCTGAGACTGAGCCCTCAGCCCTGGCCTGGTGGGAGGACATCAGGATCCCTTGTTCTAAGGGACTCTGCTTTGGCCCATCTTAGCCAAGGCTGCAGCACATAAACCAGGAAATCAGGTATCCCAGAGTGGTGATGGAGAGCAGTCTGGGGAAAGGGTCGTGGGTGGGGAATTTATCACCAACACCCATTGTAGGGGGAATCTATGATGCTTCTGCTTCCCTGGCTGATTCCCACTCTGTCCACCAAGTGGGAGTAGCACAGCCTCACAGCAGCCGCCCTGACCTTGGGCAGTCTCGTGTTCCTGGGTTCTAGTCCCTGCTGCAGGACTTTGGGCAAAGCGACCTGCCCTCTGTGAGCCTCTCTCTGAAACAGAGGAGGTGGCTCCCCTTCCCCACACTTTAGAGTGGCTGGGAGGGTAACAAAGAGGGCCTGCTCCTTTAGTCTCCTGCACCCTGCCCCCTGGTTCACCAGAGGGAGAGGATGAGGGATGGCAGCATCTCACATGCCTCATCACCCCCAACTCTGAGGCACCTGAGGTGCAGGGGGCAGGGCCTAGCCCTCTGGCTGCCCACTGTGGGAGCCATTGGAATGTATGCCCTGACAGGCCCCCTCCTGCCTCCACTTCAACCCAGGTCTTGGATTTCAGGTCCCTCCGCCCCCCATTCTGAGTCTCTGTCCTTCCCCTCCCACACTCTCCCAAGGTTTCCCACCACAGGGTCTGGAAGTGTGTGTGATGCCCATTGAGCTGTTATCAGAAGTCAGATTAAAAATCAGGGAGTGTTTTCCCTTGTTTCTGTACCAAGGTGTTGGCTCCGTTCCTCATGGTGGGAGGGGAAGGGTCCCCACAGGGCTTGCCTGCTGAGCTCCCGTGTGGAAGGAGGGTGAGTGTTGAGGTGGCTCCCAGTCCCAAAGCCCAGGTCAACAGGGAGACCACGGGCGAAGAGTTTGGGACTTACTGCCTTTCCACCTAACCCCAAACCCTCAAACGAAATCAAACTGTTCAGAAGGGAAGCAGAACTTCTCCTCTGCCACTGTCTGGAAAATTTCCATAATGGGACTCAATCCCAGCTTCTTTGCCTGCGTCTCGTCCTTCCCACTCAAGGCTGAGACTTTGCAGCCTCTCAGTCATAACTTCTTGGATGTAGATGTGTTAGGAACACTTTCAGCCATCCCTCTTGTCCCTGAGTGATCTCAGGTCCCAAACTCCAGAGCAAAGCTTTGAAGTCTTGGGCAAGGGTGACTTGCCAGAGCCTATTGAGGGCGGGACTGGTCTCTGTCCATGGTGCTGACCCGCCAGCCACTTCCAGGAAAGATGGGGTGCCTGGCCAGGTTGGCTGAGCGTCAAAAGACGAAGCGTCTCTCACTGCCAACTCCTTCCCCCTTGTCCCCGTCTCCTCCAGTGGGATAACATCTGATGCTACTCCTCCCCGCACCACCACAGTTCTAGAGTGAGGGAATCAAGAAGTTGGAGGGTCGGGGGAGGCAGGCACAGTGGCTCACATCTTTAATCCCAGTGCTTTGGGACACCAAGGCAGAAGGATCACTTGAGGCCAGCCTGGACAACATAGTGAGACCCCATCCCTATAAGTTAAAATAAAATTAGCCAGGTGTCGTGGCACCTACCTGTAGTCCCAGCTATTGGGAAACCGGGGTGAGAGGATCTCTTGAAGCCTAGGAGTTTGAGACTGCAGTGAGCTGTGATAGCACCAGTGCACTTTAGCCTGGGCAACAGAGCAAGACTCTGTTTCTAAAATTTTAGAAAAGAAGCTGGGGCTCAAGGGCAGAAATATATGAGTTTAATAACTTATGGGAGTTACGGAAACAGGTGGGCATGGCCAGGGGCCAGGAGTGTGTGGCGCTGTTCTGGGAGAGAGTAATGAGATATGGGGTGGCCCCACTGCCCCTGGCCTACCGCTGGAATTGGAGTGCGAGCAATGGGTTGCCCCTTCGCTCAGATGAGCAGATGGAGTCTATATTTGTCTTCTGACCCCCTCCTGCCCAAGCCCCTGTATGGAGGTGAGAGATTGTCCCTTCTGCTCCTGCAGTTGTGGATCCAGGGTATACATGGCCATCGTTTCTGCTTCCCTCCTGCCCCACACGTTCATGTGCCTCAGACCCAGGACTCCTCCTCAGGTGGAAGTGGGGCTTGATCAAGCAGGGGAGGTCCCAGGTCCTCTGGAGGCTGGGGGCTGCTCTCCAATAGAGCGGCTGGCTCTTTCTGCTCCTTTCCTTCCTCCTCTTCCTCGCCTACTGAAGCTCCATCCACCTGGGATGCCTCCCCTTCCTTGCTGCCTAGCACAGCTTTCAACAGCCTGTCCCTTGGAGGCGGCCTGGCTGGACCCAGGCGGCCATAGGCCAGTGGCTTGGGGATACGTGAAGGCTGCTTCTCAGGCCTGTGGTCTCTCCGGGGCCGGATCCTGGGCCTCAGCTTTAGCTTGTAGATGGATGGGACCCTCTTGGGCTTCCGGAGAGTTCTCCTGCCCTTGCTCAGACATGCCTGGGCTTTGTCAGAGTTGGGGTCCAAGGCCAAAGCTGTGGGGGCCACTGGACTGGCAGACACAGTAGGGGTCGAGCAGCCCTGCCTTCCCTGTGGCGGGACCTTCCTCATGCGGGTGTCATTGGCACTCAGGCTTGCCTTTGTCCCGGGCCCACTCTCTCTGGCTCCCAACTTCCCTTTGAGGCTTCCTGGGCCTGGGGTAACAGCTGGCTTAGGGAAGCCTGTCAGGGCTGCCTTCCAGGCTTCCAGGTCCACTTTAAGGAGGCGCGGGGGGCCCTGAGCCAGTTCTTGAATGACTTTGTCATAAGGACCTCCAGGCTCTGGCCACCGCCCACCCAGGCTGGGAACATAGACCCCGCTGCGAGGGATGACCCCAGACCCTGTGTCCTGCAGACAGGCACCCCCAACTTCTAGTAGTGTCATGTTGCCCAAAATCTCCTCTTCAAGGCTGCAGTAGATGGCTCGCTCCTTGTTCCTGTCCGGCATGTACTGCCCCTCCTCCTGTGGGCCCAGGTCCCGGGACTCTGCAGCCTCCATTGTGACCTGGATATCCAGCTGCCGATCCCCCTGCGTGGACCCAGCCAGGTCTGCAGTGATGGCCCTTAGTGGGATGGGGTCTCTCCCAAGTTCTGTCCTGGGACTTCTGCTTGCAGTACCAAGAAAGCTCCTTTCTGGTGTCGGGGGGCGGGCAGGAGGCAGCTGGATGGGGATCTTGGTTAGGCCTTGGACAGGGGTTGGAGAACAGACAGACTCTGGCTCCCTGAACTGGGAGAACACACCCTTGGCCTCATCCTGGAGTGGCAACCTGAGGCCCAGGTGCTTGGCTGGGCTAAAGGAACGAGGCGGGGGAGATGGTCCTCTTGCCGATATCCCTTTGGTGATGGCCTCAGTGGCTAGGAGTCTTTGGGGGGTAGGGGTCCTGGCATGGGTTCCCCAGCTGCCTGCTTCTTCATGAACCCAAGATGTGGGAGTCCTTCCCCTGGGGAGTTCAGGGGGGTATCTGTCCTTCCTCTTCCCTGACAAGGTACACTGTGGGTCTTGGGTAGATGAAGAGCGGGGGCTGGGTGGGCTGTCCCCAGCTGTCTCCCGCCTCCAAGATGGGGTGAGAGACCTCTCCTGGAACCTGAAAGGGAGAATCAGAAGGCTGCAAAGGGAGATTCATCAGGCAGGCAGGGTCATCTAGTGTGGTCCCTTGGCTATAGGAAGTGACAGTCTTTCCCCAGTGAGATCACCCAGGGGGCTGGACTTCACACTGAATAAAACCTGTGCTTCCTCTCCTCCATGACTGCCCAGAAATCCTCCCTAGAACAGTCACTGTCTAAGCCTATTCTCCCTCGTTCCCTCTGTAGCACATAGAAGGAGGCATGATCCTGGCCTGAGGTGACCAGATCCTTTGAGGGACGGCCCCAGACCACTTGCAGGGCAGTGGGGAGACAGCGGGAAGTGCACAGGTGTCTTAGTCTCTGCTCTACCATGAAATGGTAGGAAACCTTGAGTGAGGCTGTTCCATTTCTGGGCCTCAGCCTCTTCATCTGTGAAATGGGAAGACATAGGAAGTAACCACATTATCCCAAAGGTGCACTTCTGGTTCCAAACACCTGTGGTCTCAGGGTAAGGGCACTGCCTGGGATTTGCTGCCTTTATCTTGGGGTATGGTGGCCTCTGAGAATGTGCACTCCAAGGTAAAAAGACCCCTTCCCTGTCTCTTCCCCCGTACCTCAGGAATGGTGCCATCTCTCTGGAGGCCCCCATCCCTGTTCCCCGCTCCCTGCGGGGCCTGGGGTAGGATGGAGTGGGAGGCCTGGGCCTTCGGCCTGAAGAGGTGTATGTCTTCCAGTCCACAGGGGGCGGTGGGCTCTGTGAGCGGCTGATGGTCATCGTAGGCTGGGTCTGGGAGGGTCCATCCTGTACCCTCACTTCGTGCTGCACTGGTGGGGCCGGGGGCTTCAGGAAGCTGCCTGGCTTGTGTGCTACCAACAGTCACCCAGAGAAAGGAGAGTAGAGAAGAGTTCAATTCCTGCTGATGGGGACCACTGCTCCTCCCCAAGTGGTCCCATGCCCCACATCCCACATTACAAACAGTGGGACCGGGCCGGGCGCGGTGGCTCAAGCCTGTAATCCCAGCACTTTGGGAGGCCGAGGCGGGTGGATCACGAGGTCAAGAGATCGAGACCATCCGGGTCAACATGGTGAAACCCCGTCTCTACTAAAAATACAAGAAATTAGCTGGGCGTGGTGGCACGTGCCTGTAATCCCAGCTACTCAGGAGGCTGAGGCAGGAGAATTGCCTGAACCCAGGAGGCGGAGGTTGCGGTGAGCCGAGATCGCGCCATTGCACTCCAGCCTGGGTAACAAGAGCGAAACTCTGTCTCAAAAAAAAAAAAAAAAAAAAACAGTGGGACCTACAGTGGCAGCACCAGAGTTTCTTTGCAGGAGGGGCTTAGGGGACCCAGCTGGGGGGATTTGTTTAAAGCCATGTTTGAGTGCAGGTACACAGTTTTTCCTTAGCGCATGTGCTTACTTGGAATGGCTTGAGGCGCTGCTGGAGACTATGGAAGGGCTAAAGACCAAGTCGCACGTGGTGCCAACACTGTGGATCCCAGCCAGACCTAACTACGCTCTGCCGAAACGTGCCCTGGCCTAATGCTGCTTCTGCTTGTGTTGCACACCATCTTGCGGTGACATTTAGTACTGTGCCATAACTGCCCAGCTACGGCCTGCCTTCCTTCGACCTCCCCCACCCCTCGCCACATACCTCTTCCCACTGCAGATCAGACATCCCTCCCACCCCGGCCTGCAGCCTCCCAACCCAGAGCTGCGCCCCCAGGGAGACTCACAGAGGGACGTGCAGCGGCAGGGGTCATGTTTGTCCAGATAATGGCCCAGCGTGTCCCAGCCGCCCCCTACACGTACCATCACATGGTTCCGGAGGATCTGAGGGAGGAAGGGTAAGGCTGAGGGTGGGGTGGAGGGCAGCCCCTCTTCTTGGACCAGCTTTTGGGCTTCTGGCATGCACTCAGGGATGCTCTCATCCATGGACTCATGCTCACGTAGATGTATGTGTGTGGTGTAAAAAGGCAGCCCGAATCTCCTCCTCCGTGACTAGCATCAGATAACCCATGCAGTCAAGGGTGGGGGCCAGGCTGAAAGTTGTCCCACAGCTGGATAAGGGATCCCAAAGGCATTAGATAGCCTGGCCCCAGAGCACTCCTTTTGCTGTAAACAGTTTTGCATCTGCACATGCCTGTGCCCAAAACGGGACCCTAGTGCCACTGGCTTGGCCCCTGTGACCTGTGTAAAAGAGGCTGTGGGAGTCCTGGCCCCACTCCACCCTCACGCAAGTCACATGTCTCTTCAAGTTTCAGTTTCCTGTGTTGGAAAGTGGAGCCACCGTTCTTGGCCCTACCTACATCAGAGGGCTATTGCCTCAGGTCTAGGGGAGGGCCCAGAAAGCTGGCTGTGCTCCCAGGTGTGGCCTGTGCCCAAAGAGAAGGCTCAGCCATGCCCCGAGCTGCTGGCCCTCCAGCAGGTACAGACCATTTCTGTACAGACTGCACAGTCCAGGTGTTGGGGTAGGAGGCACATTTCAGACCTGTACTGCTACTCACTCTGCTGAGTGTACCCCCAGGCGTAAGGGGTGGAACTATGGGGTCCATGTGGCTGGGACCATGCCCTGAAACCAAACTTGGGTTTCTCAGGCCACTTCCTCTAATCAAACCTGTGGGTGGAGTGGAATGGAAAAGTGTGAGCACTCTTCTCTCTACCCTGCTCCACCTGAGCTCACCCTCTGCACTAGGCTACAGTGCAGGAGATGGAGGATGATGGCTCTGGCTGCCCTGATGGGAGGACGAGATAGGTTTTCCTCCTTCGCCAGGAACTCCTAGAATTCTCCCAGGGAAAGAAGGAGAGCGCCAAAGCCTGATGGCTTGAGGTGAATGATGACTTACCGTCATTGTCCTCAAGCCTGGGCAAGTTCTTCTGGGGGGGGCGTCATTGTTCCAAGCCTGGGCAAGGTCCCATATTCTGGGGGCTTACTGTCACGGTCCCAAGCCTGGGCAAGAAATCTTATTCCGGGGGTCCCTTGACCCCCAGCCTGGACTTACCCGGATGAAGATGAGGGTGTTGGAGTCGCCCACACGGTACTTTCCCTCAGACACCTTGACCATGGAGAACTGCACCGGGCATGTGCAGTGGCTCACGAGGCTCTGTACCTGCGGGTGGGGGTGGGGGTGAGCTCAGCCCTTTCCTTTGCCCACTCTGGGTCAAAATAGAGGGGCTACCTGCTCCCAGAGTCACCCCTGAGGTTTCTGCTGGAGTCAGGGCTGGGGGCTGAGAAGCAAGGAGGGAGTAGAGAAGGCTGTAAATGGCCCAGTGAGAATGAGACCTGGGTGGTCACCCATGAGTTCCAGAGCCCTCAGGGGTCAGCCGATGGAAGCGGCGGAGTGTAATGGGGGGACTGTGAGATCTGACAGGCTCAGGTCAGAGCCCGGCATCCACTGCATCACAGGCTTTTTTGTTAAGAAACCTACCTGAGCTCCCTTTCCCCCAGGGGTTAACCACACAGAACTAACTGCTGTAATAGGCCCTCTGCAGACGCCGTTCCGAGCACTTCCGATGTGCTGGCTCCTTTAATGATTCTACATTCATAGAAGGTAGGTGCTGTTACTGCCCCCATGCTGCAGATAAGGGAAGCCAGACACAGAGAGGTTGAATAATTTGCCCAAAGTCACAGAGCTGCAGAGCAGTGGAACCAAGATGTGAGCCAAGATGTCTCGGAGAGTGCCACAGTCTGTGTTCTTGAAAACTGTCCCGGCAGGGGTTAAATGAGAGGAGCATCCAGTGCTGGGCTGGTTAGAAAGCCTGAGAAATGACCTGGCCATTCCTACGCGTGGTTAGCGTTGAGACTTAGAGCGCAACCGTGCCTCAAAGCCAGTCAGTGAATGCGTGTCAGGGTGGACACAGGAGCTCAAGAAGCAGGTGCTTTAGACAGGGCTGGTGTGGGACTGGGGAGAGGAGCGCGAAGGGCGGAGGGAAGGGGGCCCTGAGGTGTGCAGAGCCTCTCACCATCTGGTCCAGGTTGCCGAAGTGGCAGGGCTGGCGCCTGGGGGGCGCGGGCCGCTTGGGGTCGGGCGGGGGCAGGGCCAGCTCCCGCCGCACCTCCTCCTCGATCTCCTCCTCCAGATGCACCAGGGTGGGCGCAGCAACGCCGAAGCGCCACGCGCGGCGGCCCAGCTCCAGCAGACACAGCACCACGTTCTTCACGTTCTTGCGCAGGACCAGGTCCTCCGTCTCGAACATCAGCACCTCTGGAGTGGAGGCCGGGAGAAAAGGGCAGAGGCGGCGTGAGCCCCCCCGGGGACCTGGGCCTGTGGGGCGGGGGTGAGTGGGAAGGAAAGCCCTGGGGTCATCCACGGTCTGGGGCGGCAGACAGGGGGAGCGGTTTGGGTCTCAGAATCTCGGGGTCAAGTCAACCCCCTAGGAGGGGTCTCGGCAGAACCGCTCAGATGCTGGGCACAGACACGCGGCCCATCTCACGTGAGAGGCTGGGAGTGGGAAGAGGTGACGGCAAAGCAAAGACACCTGGAGACTGACGGTGAGCGCGGGTGAGAGAAGCATGAACTCCACCTTCCCCTCTCCGCACTCAGCTTGCCTGGATGGGTCCAGAAGAAGAACGCGGTTGGTTCCACTTTCCACCCACGCCTCTGCCCTCCAGTCTCCGCCGGGCATCTTAAACTCAGCTCCCACCCAGGCCCAGCCAGGCATGCTGAGGAGCCAACCACTAAGGCTGGAGTCCTGGCCCACTGCCACCGACATGACCTTGAACTAGACCCTGAGCCACACCCTGAGCCTCAGTTTCTTCTGTAAAACGGGGATGTATAGTCTATTTCGTGGGGTTGCTGTGAAGATTGGATATGCTAACAGTGGTTAATCATTCACAGTGTCCGACGCATGCAAGCATTCCTTAAACGCCAGCTTTTATTAACCTTCCAATTCTGCTCCTCACTGCCAGTAGCCCAGGCCCGACCCTTTCCCCAGTCTCGCCCCTGCCACCTTTGGCCTGGAAAATGGCGCAACATCCAGCCTCATCCCATTCCTGGGTTCAAGGCCAAGAAGATGAAGGATCCTGGCGTGCCACTCCCTGAGCTCTACAAGTCCCAGCATGATGGGGCCCCTCCCTGGCTTCCTCCCGTCTACTTTCCTCATCCCAGCCCCGTGCCCTCACCACTGGGCCCCTCCCAGTCATTCACACACAGTGCTTTTTCTCCTTCGCCCCTGCTGTTCCCCTGCTTAGAATTCCCTTCCCACAAACTTCTATTCCTCAAGACTCAGGCCAGCCAGGTGCGGTGGCTCATGCCTGTAATCCCAGCACTTTGGGAGTTCGAGACCAGCCTGGCCATCATGGCGAAAACCCATCTCTAGTAAAAATACAAAAACTAGCCAGACGTGGTGGCAGATGCCTGTAATTTCAACTACTTAGGAGGCTAAGGCACAAGAATTGCTTGAACCCAGGAGTTGGAGGTTGCAGTGAGCCAAGATCTCGCCACTGTACTCCAGCCTGGGTGATAGAGTGAGACTCAGTCTGAAAAAAAAAAAAAAAAAAGACTCAGGCCAAATCTCCTTCCTTTATGATACAATTTTTCTCAGCTTCATTCCCCCTCATCAGGCCATTTCCTCCCCTGGCTCCCAGGACTATACCTCTACTTCAAGCCTTTGCCCCAGTAAGCTATAATTTACATATCTATCCCTCTGCCTCTCTCTTTTTTTTTTTTTTTTGTTTGAGATGGAGTCTCGCTCTGTTGCCCAGGTTGGAGTGCAGTGGCACAATCTCAGCTCACTGCACGCTCGGCCTCCCAGGTTCAGGCAATTCTCCTGTCTCAGCCCACCACCATGCCCAGCTAATTTTTGCATTTTTAGTAGAGTCGGGGTTTTGCCATCTTAGGCTGCGCTGGTCTTGAATTCCTGACCTCAGGTGATTCACTTGCCTCAGCCCTGGGGTCATCCCCAGTCTGGGATGGTCTGAGGTGCTTGATATTTGCTTATTAAAGCAATGATCAACAAACATTTATAAATCATCAACATATTTATTAAGGATTTATAGCCGGGCGCGGTGGCTCAAGCCTGTCATCCCAGCACTTTGGGAGGCCGAGGCGGGTGGATCACGAGGTCAAGAGATCGAGACCATCCTGGTCCACATGGTGAAACCCCGTCTCTACTAAAAATACAAAAAATTAGCTGGGCATGGTGGCGCGTGCCTGTAATCCCAGCTACTCAGGAGGCTGAGGCAGGAGAATTGCCTGAACCCAGGAGGCGGAGGTTGCGGTGAGCCGAGATCGCGCCACTGCACTCCAGCCTGGGTAACAAGAGAGAAACTCCGTCTAAAAAAAAAAAAAAAAAAAATGGATTTATGAGGTGGGGAAACTGAAGTATTAACAAAGAGCTGGTTCAAGGCAAATCTAGAATGAGGACCCAGGCTCCTGCTTCCCAGACCTAGCCTGTGCATTTGAGAAAGGATGAATACCCGCAAGAAAAGCATCTGGGATGGGGATGGGGGTGCAGGGTGGTTACCTTGGATGCCCATCTCCTTTCGACACCACTGGATGAAGTTGGAGACATTGTCCCTGGCCTGGAAGGTACCTGGCCGGGCAGCCTCATTGCAGGAGACCCCGACCCGGGGCATAGGAATCTTCTGGGCTTGGGCAGGTGTCTCGGCCAGGAAGGCCAGGGCAGCGTCAGTGACGGCGTTGGCATGCCGGCACAGCACCGAGCCCGTCTCCAGTTCCTGCAGGAAGTTGCCCGGGTCGATGTCCAGCCCGTAGAGGCCACTCAGCCACTCAGCCAAGTCTTCCTTCATGGCCTCCAGGTACTGCTCACTGGACTTGAAAGGCCGGATACTGCACGTGGGCGGCCCTAGGGTCCCGGGCCTCCTCCTGCCTCCTCCAGGCTGGGACATGGCTGGACCCCAGCAGGGGAGGAGGTGGGCACCTCCCCGCTGGCACTGCCACCTCTTGCCTTCCGCCGCTGCTGGGTCTTGGCCAGGTTCTCCCTAATTCCGAGGTTCCGTTCTACTCCCTGAGAGCCCAGGATCTCCAGCGCTGCTACTTGCCACTGGCTTCAGCCGCCAGGCCAGGCCCATCCCCTGTTCCCCTACATTCCTCAGTCCCTGCCAGAGCTTTCCCTGGTGGCCCTGCAGCGACCTCGCTCTCAGGCTGCCCAGTCCACTCAGAGTTCACCCCTCCCAGGCTGGGGGAAGGTGAGGGCACTCCTCTCTTCCCCCAGGGCTGGACAGATCAAGCTGGCTGCCTCCCACCCTCGCTGCCTCCCACCCTCGCTGCGACCACGGAGCCTGGGTAGCTGCTGGCCTCACCACTCTGCTTTTCTCCCCTCTCCTTGGAGACAGCGGCTGCTACAAACACTCCTTGTTAACCTTTGCCAGCAGGCAAGGACTGCCTTGCAGAGCTGAGGGAGAGGGAGGAGAAGCTGGGACTGGCTTCTCTTACAGGGCTGGCCAGGTGGGGACTTTGTGGGAGTGGAAGGAAAGCAGGGGGAGGAGTTGCCATGCCCCTCGGTGTTTAGTGAGTACGGGAGGAGAGGAATGAAAGAGACACAGCAATAGAGTCTAAAACTCATGAGTTTAGCCTTAAATCCTGAGTAACCATCACACACTACCTAGCCTCTCTGTGCCTTAGTTTCTCAGCTGTCAAATGGGGGTAATGTTGTGAGGAATAAAGGAATAATGAGCCGGGCGCAGTGGCTCAAGCCTGTAATCCCAGCACTTTGGGAGGCTGAGGCGGGTGGATCACGAGGTCGAGAGATCGAGATCATCCTGGTCAACATGGTGAAACCCCGTCTCTACTAAAAATACAAAAAATTAGCTGGGCATGATGGCGCATGCCTGTAATCCCAGCTACACAGGAGGCTGAGGCAGGAGAATTGCCTGAACCCAGGAGGCGGAGGTTGCGGTGAGCCGAGATTGTGCCATTGCACTCCAGCCTGGGTAACAAGAGTGAAACTCCGTCTCAAAAAAAAAAAAAAAAAAAAAAAAAAAAGGAATAATGTATGTGAAAGTATCAGACCATCAGAACTCACAGGCAGGCACAGGTCTGTGTGGGTCCCAGTTCCCCCAGCAGCTCTGTTAGCACAATGATCCCCACTTTCTCTGGAGAACCTGCCCCGCACCCCACACTAACAATGTGATTGTGCTGGAGCGGGCTGTCAGTCATAATACCCCGTCCCTATGGCCACAGTAGTGCATTCGTTCAACCAACATTTCTGGGTTGGTCGCAGTGTAAGTACCGCCCGTAACCGCAGCACTGTGGGAGACCAAGGCAGGAAGATCACTCCAGGCCAGGAGTTGGAGACCAGCCTGGGCAACATGATGAAACGCTGTCTCTACAGAAATAATACAAAAATTAGCCAAGCATGGTGGCATGCACCTGTAGTCCCAGCTACTCAGGTCGTTGAGGTTGCACTGAGCCATAATTGTGTCACTGCACTCCAGCCTGCGCAACAGAGCAAGACTCCCTTAAAAAATTTTTTTCTTGAGTGCCTACTATGTGCCAGGCACTACTGCAGGCCTGAGGATAAACCAATAAACAAAAAAGACCAGGTCCCTGACCTTATGGGGGTAACCTCCGTGTTACCGGGTGGTGAATGACAGATAACAAATAAATCTAAGACCAGGCATGGTGGCTCATGCCTGTAATCCCAACACTTTGGAAGGCTGAGGCAGGTGGATCGCTTGAGCCCAGGAGTTCGAGAACGCCCTGGCCAACATGGTAAAACTCTGTCTATACTAATACAAAAATTAGCCAGGTGTGATGGCAGTGCCTGTAATCCCAGCTAAGGCAGGAGAATCACTTGAACCTGGGAGGTGGAAGTTGCAGTGAGCCGAGATCACTCCACTGCACTCCAGCCTGGATGACAGAGACTCTATCTCAAACACACACACACACACACACACACACACATATGTGTGTGTGTGTATATATATATATATATATATATATATATATATATATATAGTTTGTTTACTCCTTGAGTGTTTGTGTGTCTAAGCCCTCTCTTTCACTGAATATAGGTGTTTGAGTACATTTATTCATCTGTCACTGGGTTGAGGTTTCTACTGAAAATACGAAAATTAGTCACGCATAGTGCCTGAGGCATGAGAATCATTTGAACCCAGCCGAGATTACACCACTGCACTCCAGCCTGGGTGACAGAGCAAGACTCTGTCTCAAAAAAAAAGAAATTTCACCCCATTACTCTTTAGAAGCTGAGACACATAACTCATACCTAATTTCTTTCCTTCTTTCTCTCTCTCTCTTTTTTTTCTTTTGAGATGGGGTCTCACTGTGTTGCCCAGGCTGGAATGCAGAGGTGTGATCTCGGCTCACTGCAACCTCTGCCTCCCAGGCTCCTGGTCTCAAGCAATTTTCCATCACAGCCTTCTGGGTTGCTGGGATTATGGGTTCCTCTCACTGTGACCCGTTCAGATATATTTTTTCTTAAGTTATATTTATTGCCCAGCCAAAACTAATATTGCATTTCTGTGTTATAACTAATTATTAGAAGTTAAGGAGCTATTTATACTATTAATTTCCAATGTTAAAGTTTAATATGAAAAAATTGTAGCCTTACCTTTGAATACTGACTTCATCTTGTCCTTTAGGTATGATTTCTATGAATAGCAGAAAATAATGCTTGTGCTTACTGATAAAACATAGCCTATTCTCTTCTGGTTTAAACAGTCTCTTTCGGTTAGAGATTCAGTCAATTTTAAGTTTTCACTCATTACCAGGATGGCTTCAGCCTTCTCAAGGGGTCTCCCAAGCTGATGTCTTGAGTGCAGGAGACATGCCTATGTTTCTGGGGTTAGTGGGATCATCTGCTTGCTCTCATGTTTTCAATGAAGACTGTACTAGTTCTCTGTGGGATCAATTTCTAGTGTGCTGGCTGGGCTCATGCCTGTAATCCCACCACTTTGGGAGGCCGAGGCGGGTGGATCACTTGAGGTCAGGAGTTCGAGACCAGCCTGGCCAACAGTGTGAAACCCTGTCCCTAAGAATCCAAAAATCAGCCAGGTTTGGTGGTGCATGCCTGTAGTCCCAGCTACTCAGGAGGTTGAAGCAGGAGAATCGCTTGAACCCGGGAGGCAGAGGTTGCAGTGAGCTGAGATCGCGCCACTGCACTACATGCTGGGCAACAGAGCGAGACTCCATCTCAAAAAATAAATAACATAAAATAATAAATTATAATGTGCTTTTATGTTAGTATGAATTGTCTGGCAATCTAACATTTTATGAAGGTTCCATAAAACCCAAAATAGCCTTGGGAAGAGGGAATGCACATCCTACGGATGGATGGCAAACGGCTACTGGGCAGATTAGGGTTGGGGAGGCAGGATGAGAAGAACGACCATGCCAGGGGACACTCTGTTGTGGTGTCTTGGTGGGATGCTCCCTAAAGACCACAGCACAGGAGCCGGGTGCCTTGGCTCAAGCCTGTAATACCAGCACTTTGGGAGGCCAAGCCAGGCAGATCATAAGGTCAGGAGTTCGAGACCAGCCTGGCCAATATGGTGAAACCCCGTCTCTACTAAAAATACAAAAATTAGCTGGGCATGGTGGCGGGTGCCTGTAGTCCCAGCTACTTCGGAGGCTGAGGCAGAAGAATCACTTGAACCTGGGAGGCGGAGGTTGCAGTGAGCTGAGATTGGGCCACTGCATTCTCCAGTGTGGGTGATAGAGCAAGATTCATTTAAAAAAAAAAAAAAAAAAAGCCTAGTGTACTCGGGTGGCTGAGGTAGAAAGATCACTTGAGGCCAGGAGTTTGAGGCTGCCGTGAGCTATGCTTGCATCTCTGTATGTAGTCCGGCTTGGGAGACACAGTAAGAGCCTGTCTCTAAAGAAAAAAAAAAAAAAGACCGTAGCACAGGCTCATTGGTTTAGATGTGCCTGCCAGGGGCATTAAATCTTAGCAAGTGTCTCAGTGAGACTGCTTATGGTGCCAGTGTCCATGGGTGACCCCCAGCAGTGGCCTCCAAACTGAATTGTTCCTGAGATGCGATCTTGGCTGTGTTCTTAGTCAGCAGCCTTCCTTGATTCCTAGCTAGTTCTCAAGTCTTTTGGTCATTCTGTGAGCTCTCACTATTCTTTCTCTTTAAATTAACCAGAGTGAGCTTTTGAATTTTGCAATCAAGAGCCATAGTGGCTACACAAGCTTTCAGCAAATTTAAGGAGAATGAGCTTGTTGGGAGACAATTCTCCTTGGGTCTTTTGTGTTTATGCATGTCTTACAAGCAGAGGCCCTGACTTTTCACGGGTTTTTGTATAAGTGAACAATCTTGGAAAATAGACGTAGTGCCTCCTTCCTGAGCAAACAGCAGGTTTGCTTACTACCCATTATGAAAGATTTGGGTTTCCTAAGCTAGAAATTTCTCTTAGTAATGCAAACCTCTGCATATATAGGTAGCCATTGGCACTCATCTGTGTCACTCATAGGTCGCCGAAGCAAGGGAAGCTGACGCAAATAGGCCAAAGGTGATGTGCCTCAGTAATAAAGTCCTTTGTCTCTGACCCCGAGCCTCATGTTTTCTGGAAAGACCCATGAAACTACAACTGGTTCACATGGTAGCTTGCAAGGAGGATAACACGTCAGATCCTTCACAGTTCTTGATAGCGTTCCCCGCTGTGACTAGGAGATTCCCGGGGGCCAGGTCTACTCTCTGCTCTCCAGCCCAGCAACTTACCTCCACCAAACTAAGATGCCCAAAGGAAGGGACCCCATCGCCCTCTACTCTCAGACTTGAATGGAGGATTATATCATTTTTGACTATCAGACTGGGATCTCTCTGAGGTCAGCAACTTCATCTCAACAGACCGAGGACTTTCCAGAGCTGAATCTGTCCATTGCCCATCTGTACATTTCTCTCTGTGCCAATACGCTCCACTTCAAGGCCAGGATAGGAAAGAATTTTCCTGTTCCTGAAGCTCCATGATTTTACTCCCTCCCCCAGCCCAGCTCCCACTACATACACAATATCCAGGAGCCATACCCGCCTTGCACCCAAGTCCTACTCGACTTGGCACCATTCCCTTGTGTTCCTTGGCTCTAAGGCAATGAAATGGAAATAGAATAAGTAGGGAGCATGGGGTGAAGAAGGATAAGGATACAACAGGAGGAGGAGGAGAGAATATAATGATACAAACAAACCCAATGCTTTCAGTGATTCCTGCAGGCCAGGTAAAGCCCAGTACTGTACTACTATCTCTGACTTACAGATGAAGACTGAGGGTCAGAGAGATAGCATGCTGAAAGTCAGATAACTTTTATATTTATGCGGTGGAGTTGGGATTTAAAGCCAGTTAATTGGGGCCAAAGCCACCTTCTACTCCACTTTTATGCCTTCCTACGAGGTAAGGTAAGAGACACCTGAGTTGTTAGTGCTTTGGGAGGCTCTGGAAAAGGAAGTTATTCCTGGGCAGAGCCTCATGGGCGGGTGAGATTCTAGCCCCACCCCTTGTGATCCAATAGAGGCCCTAGAGACCAGACCAAGTTCTATGGGTTCTGGGCACCCTCTCACATCCCAGTCCCTGATCAGGGAAAGCAGGCAGCACAGCCTTGGGAAGAATGGATAAGCATGGTGAGTGGGGCTGGAGGGAGGGTGAGGCTGGAGGACAGAGCCTCTTGACCCGAGCTTGGACAATCCAGCCCACCACCATGAAGTCCAACCTTTTCTCAGCTACAAGCACTCTCTTTTCTCCTTCCTGAATACTCTTCTTTTTTGAAGACAGAATCTGACTCCGTCACCCAGACTGGAATGCAGTGGCATGTCCTCAGCTCACTGCAGCCTCTGCCTCCCGGGTTCAAGCAATTCTCCTGCCTCAGCCTCCCAAGTAGCTGGGACCACAGGGGCATGCCACAACGCCTAGCTAAATTTTGTATTTTTAGTAGAGACGGGGTTTCGTTATGATGGCTGGGCTAGTCTCAAACTCCTGACTTCAAGTGATCCACTGCCTTGGCCTCCCAAAGTCCTGGGATTACAGATGGGAGCCACCGCACTTGGCCTCTTTTTGTTTTTTGTTTTTAGAGACAGGGTCTTGCTTTGTACCAGGCTGGAGAACAGTGGTGTTATCATAGCTCGCTGCAGCCTCAACCTGCCAGGCTTAAGTGACCTCCTGCCCCCCATGCCTTGGCCTCCCAAAGTGCTGGGATTACAGGTGTGAGCCACCACATCCACCTGCAGAATAGTGTTAATATCTGCTTCATCGTCTCCACCTGCTCCTGTTCAGACCTTAATCTTCTCTGACCTGGACCACTGTAATGACTCCTCAGTGGGGCCTCCTGTCTTGTCAGAGGGAACATCGTAAAACACAGCTTGGAACACGTCCCTCTACAAGAACGTTCAATGGCTCCTCACTACTGAGGGGCAAAGTCCAAATTCCACAGCGCACCACTTAATGTCCAGTCCTTCCTTTTCAACCCCTCTTCCTCCTCCCCTTACCTCCTGAAACATCTCTGGAACCCTTTTCTAGCTGGGTACTAGGCCTGGCCTTTCACCACCGGAAGGCTAGAACACCAATTACGAGCATTCCCTTTGTTCCTTTAAATAGGATGGACCGGGATCAATAGGAATGTTTCTTGACTTTTCCAGAGCCAACGCCACAAGTTACGTCTTGCCTGCCCTCCCCCTCTCTTTCCTTTACAAACCTAGCTACCTAGATGTGACAGACACAGGATGCATGAAGCTCGGTGAATGTTTGCTGAATGGGCAGGGGACACCTTCCAGGGGAGGCCGGCTTAGTTTCCATGTCAACCCGGGAACTTCCTTCCTGCTGGGGCTACTGCTTGGAGTTGTGGAATCTGTGCCCTGAACAAAGGCACCAGCAAGAGGGGACAGTGGTGGCTGAAGTCAAGCCTGGAAGGAGGAAGAGACACCTTTTCCTACTTTGTTCACCCTAAGGACAGTCTTTCCCAATAGGTCTTCCCATAGAGGGTCCTTTTTTCCATTTTCCTGATTATAATCTCATCATACAAAGGTGCTGTAAGCCCACCCGCCTGTCCACTCCACCAGGGGAGATGCAGAGCTTCCTTAAGGCAAGATCAACTTGGAGGAAGCAAATCCCATCCAGAAAATAAAATACTCTATAAATAACCACCTATTGGCCAGGCACGGTGGCTCACGCCTGTAATCCCAGCACTTTGGGAGGCTGAGGCGGGTGGATCACGAGGTCGAGAGATCGAGACCATCCTGGTCAACATGGTGAAACCCCGTCTCTACTAAAAATACAAAAAATTTGCTGGGCATGGTGGCACGTGCCTGTAATCCCAGCTACTCCGGAGGCTGAGGCAGGAGAATTGCCTGAACCCAGGAGGCGGAGGTTGCGGTGAGCCGAGATCGTGCCATTGCACTCCAGCCTGGGTAACAAGAGCGAAACTCCGTCTCAAAAAAAAAAAAAACAAAAAACCAAAAACCATCCTGGTCAACATGGTGAAACCCTGTCTCTACTAAAAAATACAAAAATTAGCTGGGCGTGGTGGCGCACGCCTGTAGTCCCAGCTACTTGAGAGGCTGAGGCAGGAGAACTGTTTGAACCCAGGAGGCAGAGGTTGCAGTGAGCCAAGATTGAGCCATTGCACTCCAGCCTGGGCAACAAAAGTGAAACTCTGTCTCAAAATAAATAAATAAATAAATAAATAAATAAATAAATAAAATAAAACAAAATAAATTTTAAAACTAAAGGGCCGGGCGTGGTGGCTCAAGCCTGTAATCCCAGCACTTTGGGAGGCCGAGGCGGGTGGATCACGAGGTCGAGAGATCGAGACCATCCTGGTCAACATGGTGAAACCCCGTCTCTACTAAAAATACAAAACATTAGCTGGGCATGGTGGCGCGTGCCTGTAATCCCAGCTACTTGGGAGGCTGAGGCAGGAGAATTGCTTGAACTGGAATCTGGAGGCAGAGGTTGTGGAGAGCTAAGATGGCGCCACTGCATTCCAGCCTGGGCTACAGAGTGAGACTCCATCTCAAAATGAAAGTAATAATAATTAATAATAATAGTAATTAGTAATAATAATTATTACAATAAGATCCTTTCTTATTATATTATTCCGTCTATTATTATTATATGTAAGACTCCATCTCAAAATAATAGTAATAATAACAATAATATTAGTAGTAGTAATTAATAATTATTAATTAATAATTATTAACAAATAATAATAATGATAATTATTTTGAGACGGAGTCTCACTCTGTCACCTAGGCTGGAGTGCAGTGGTGTGATCATGGCTCGCGTAACCTCGACTTCCCCAGCTTAGCTTCCTCCCCCCTCAGCCTCCCAAGTCCAAGCAGCTGGGACCACAGGTGTATGCCACCACGCCCAGCTAGTGTTTTGTTTGTTTGTTGTTTTCTTTTTTGTTTTGTTTTGTTTTTTTGGAGAGACAGGGTCTCACCTTGTTACCCATACTGGTCTCGAACTCTTTGAGCTCAAGCCAGCCGCCTGCCTCGGCCTCCCAAAGTGCTGAGATTACAGGCGTGAGCCACCATGCGCCGATTTACAAACAATTTTTGACAAATTATCCCGGGCCACGTGTGGCGGCTCACGCCTGAAATCCCAGCACTGTGGGAGGCCGAAGCGGGCGGATCACCTGAGGTCAGGAGTTCGAGACCAGCCCAGCCAACATGGTGAAACCCCGTTTCTAATAAAAACGCGGTGGTGGACGCCTGTCATCCCAGCGACTGGGGAGGCTGAGGCAGGAGAATCGCCCGAGCCTGCGCGGCGGAGGTGGCGGTGAGCCGAGACGGCTGCGCTCCAGCCCGGGCGACCGAGAGAGACCCTGTGTCGACTGAAAAATGCCCGCGGACCCTGTCTCGGCGACCGCAGGACAGCCCTGACCTCCTCCGGGCCCGCAGGTGTGAAGACCCCACTGTGGAAGAAGGACCCGGAGCAGGCGCGGGCGGAGGAGGCGGAGCAGGAGGAAGCGAAGCAGGGGCCGGAGGACGGCGCGGCGGGGGGCGAGGAGCCGCCGCGGGAGGCGGAGGGGGGCGAGGGCCGCGAACGGCGCGCGGTGTCCTACTGCCCGCTGCGCCCGGACTGCAGCACCCAGGAGGCGGCGCCGCTGCGGCGCGCGGACAGCGGCTTCTGGGGCTGGCTTGGCCCCTTCGTGCTGCGGGGCGCCCTGACTGCTCCCCCCGACAGGTGACTGCGGGCTCCTCGGCCGGAGCGCTAGGCACGCGGCGCCGGGGCCCCGGGGAGGAGGGGCGGCCCCGGGCACTGAGCGCCCGGTCCCCGCCGGCAGGAAGCGGAGCCTCCCGGAGGAGCGGTGCGTGCTGGAGATCCGGCGACGACCGCCGCGCCGCGGGGTCTGTGCGCGCTGCGAGATCCTCTTCTGCAAGAAATGCCGCAGTCTGCACGGCCACCCGGCCTATGTGGCGCACTGCGTTCTGGATCACCCGGATCTGGGTAAGGCGGGGGCCGCTGGGGCCTACTGAGCGCCCCCACTCCCAGTTTTGTGCTCTCCATCCTTTCCTGGGCCAGACCACCCCCCACCCTCCAGCCCCGCAACCTTCTCTCCTGGGACGCGGAGCCCTCTCCGGCCCATTCCACAGAACCGCTCCTTCTCAACTACCGCCCAGGGCGCCCCTGCTGAGCAAGAAGGCCCACTGTTGATGCTTGGTTCCCACCTGCCACCTAGAGCCCCCAGTGCAGGGCCCAGCACAGCCTAGAGCCCGCTGTGAACAGCGCTCACCCAGGGCCCCCCGCCCCCACGCAGCACCAGCGCCACCGCACACCTGACTCTGCCGCTCACACAGCCTCACCTTCACCTCTTGGGTATTTCAGATCCTTCTGGCCCGCTGGGCAGAGGCATCGCCTAGAGAAAACAACCTCCAGCTTCCCTCAGCCCTCTGACAAACCTGCCTCTTTCCCTGAAACCATCCAGTAAAACCTCTGATCAAATTGTCAGTGCTTTGAGGTGGGGCACGGTGGCTCCGGGTGGGGATGGTCCTCCTTGGGTTCAAGCTAGAGGTAAAATCGTGGGCAGGGAGCCTCTTCCCTCACCTCCCCGGAACGGTACAACCATTTGTATCCAAAGGCAGTCAAAGGGCCTTCTGCCGCTCTGCAGAGAAGAAAATGAAGGGGCAGGGCCAACAATGGCCCTGGGGAGCGGAGCACTGAAGCCTTGCCAGACAATCGTCCCCTCCCCTGGACTCCCTGGCTTCCTGAGGTCAGTGCTGTGCAGATGAGGCACTGGCAGGTGTGGAGGGGCGGGAGAAGCTTGGAAAACCAGATGCTAAAATAAATGCTGGCATGGATGGAGGCAGAAGACACAGAGGCTGGGGAGCCGGTTCCTTCTCCAGGAATCCCAGCTATTCTTGGCCAGACAGCAGGAGCTTTGGGAAAGCCTCGTGTGTGGCCTGGAGAATGCGGCCATTGTGAGCACAAGGCCACCCCCAGCCTGCAGGGCTGCCTGTTGTAGAGGCTGCATCCCCAGCGCCTGCAGCATTGCAGACCCCCAGGAAGGCCCCCTGACCTCTCCCTGCTGCACATGGTTCCCCATCTGGTCTGGGGGGCAAGGACATTTTGCTTTTTGAGGAGAGGCAGGCCCCATCTCTCCATCACAGCTCCACATACACACACACACACACACACACACAGCTGACTGGCCCTGGCTTGGATGGAAGAGCATGGCCCTGGCCTCCCCTGCACCTGTGCTCACCTGCTATCCCTGCAAAGGATGAAGGAACGCTCCAAGGAAGCCTGCTTCCTGCCTCTCAGCCCATCAGCTGAAGATACTTCTTTATTCTAGCCCCGGACAAAAAGCCAGGGACCGGCAGGGACCTGCATCAGTCTCCCTCCCACTCTGCATCCTGACCCCACAAAGGGCCTCTGAGGTTGGAGACACCTGTGCCCTTACCCCCATCCATGCTTTCTGGGGGTGAGGCCTCTGACTAAACATGACACTGTTTTCCAACAACTGAGCCAGGAGGTCCTGGGGTGAAGGGCGCAGTCTTGCACGATGGTCTCTCTAATCTGCCTGCTGAGTTTCACATCCCCCTGCTTGGATCCCAGGGCCGTCACCTCTTGAACAAACTGTACCTTTAGCAGAAGAAATAAAATCCTCAAGGCCTGGGAAAGACAGAGGTCCTTGGAGGAAAGGGCCAAGGGATCTGGGACCCTTTTTTGCTTTTCCTAAGATCGATCCCACCCCTCATCTCCATGCAGTGGGAACAGACAGCGCTGCATTCTTCAAGGAACAAAGGCAGGCAAACTTCCAGATGGAGGCTTTGCTGTCGGGTCTTCTACAGAGGGACTCAGAGAGACGGGTTCTGCCCCAGGGGTGGGGAACACGATTTCGCCCTGAGAGCACCACCAGTTTCTGCGGTGAGGAGGTGCCTTCAGAACAGGGTGCTTCCCGAGTTAGCATGCCAGCAGCCCATCCAGGGCAGCTCAGCGGCCCAGCGGCCCGTGGTGGTCGCCCGCAGTTTGGCCTGGTCGAGGCGCCAGTATTGGTCGTCTCGGAAGAAGATGATGGAGCCGTCGGGCCTCGGCAGAGCGCCGCTGACCTCCTCGGGGATGCCGCCCCAGTCCTGCAGACCTCGCGGGTAGTAGGGTTCCACTTGCAGCCCCCCTCGGGCCAGCACGTAGTAGCGAGCGCCCTTGAAGAGGACGAGACGGCGCAGAGGAGGGAAGAAGAGAGCGGCGTCCGGATGGCGGGGCAGGCCCCCTGCCCGGCACAGCTGCGGGAGACCCCACACTGGCTTGGAGCCCCGGAACCTCCAACACTGACCCCCTGTGGACCATTGGGAGAGCCAGGGTGAGCTGGAGGCTGTGACTCATTGGCCTTCCACCCCACCTCTGTTCCCCATACCTCTGTTTCCCCCTTAAGCTGGAGCGCGCAATGGTTAGTATTCATATCAATCAAATGCATCGTACTGCTGGTTACAAATAGCAAGGTGGTAGTGGGGACTACCGTTATTGTCTAAACTTCCAGCAGGTGTCAGCAGAGGGCAGACGGACATCGCGACTGCCATCTCTACTAATGATGCTATGAGGGCAAGAATTTTTGTTTCGCTCACTGCTGTATCCCTCACATACCCAACCAGGTCTAGTGCATACAAGGCACTCAATATTGGTTGAATGAGTAAAACAAACGAATGAATACTATTTCCCTAAGTATTTCCACGCATCTAGTAATATATTGCACTCTCCAGGCAATATTATCTTCTCATATTCCCTCCCCGGCAAATCTGAAGTATTGAATTCCCCATTCGAGAAATGCACATTCGTAAGTTAAGCGGCATGTCCAACCCCACACGGCTAGGATTCCAGTGAAGATCCAGCTCTTTATCTGCTGAATTGCAGAAATCAGAGCAGCCCTCTGCTTCCCTCTAGACTCCTCTCTGACACGCTCCCTGGGACCTTGGCACTCCGTGCTCCCTAATCCACCACGGAAAGGTGCCTTGTGATGGAGTCTTCCCCAGGGTCATAGGTTCCAAGTGGAATAGAGACTCCACCGTGGACTCGTGTGAGACTTTCCCCCTCTTTTGTCCCCTCTCTAGGGCACAGTTTTCCCAGCTGCCCCAGAGCCAGTACCTTTGAAGAAGTAGAAATCTCCATCCTCCAGTGACACTACAGCAGCCTCAATGTTGGGGGGCAGCCCAGCCCACCTTTCCTGTAGTGGACGGGGCTCTGAGACGTTGCCATCAGCTGCCACTTCCCAGAAGTGGCTCCCTTTGAAAATGTACACTTGCTGTTGCCTGTCTGCCCAGAGACAAGAGAGAGTTGAGGCGTGACCATCAGCCTCCTGCTGTCTTTCCAGGGAAGACGCTGTCCTGGAAGCCAGTTTCCCAAAGGGACAAGCACAGGATACGGTGTGCACGGTTGGCGCAGTGGGGAAAGTGGGCAGGAAGAAGCAGTGTTTTGCTTAGTGTGGGGCCGCGACCTGCAGCGTGCTTGTGGTTTGGGATTTCTGGCTTTTACAGTCCATCCCCCTACCTGGTACTCCAGCTCTGGAGACCCCAGGAGATGTGGGAAAGGCGGGAAGAGAGAAGTAAAGCGCCAGTGGGAACTTCTTACCTGCAGTGATGGCATCGAAGGAAGAGTGGCAGTATTTAGGACCTTGGGTTTCAGGGTGCCTTCCTTGGGGACTGTGGGGATCCCAGGCCTCAAAGTCAGTGAACAGCTTTCCTGGGAGCTGGACAGCCACTGAGCCCCCTAGGGGCTTCCCTTTGTGAGCAAGAAGATAAGAGAGAGAACACACGTAGGGAAGAGGGTATGCTGTGCACACAAGACCTTCCCTTGGTTACTTTCATGATTATCTCCTATGAGGGGCAAGGAAGCAGAGTGGGAGTACGGGGTTAAGAGTTGTTCCTGGGCAGGCACGCTGGCTCACACCTGTAATCCCAGCACTTTGGGAGGCCGAGGCAGGTAGATCACTTGAGGTTAGGAGTTTGAGACCAGCCTGGCCAACGGTGAAATCCTGTTTCTACTAAAAATACAAAACTTAACCAGGCATGGTGGTGCACACTTGTAGTCCCAGCTACTTGGGAGGCTGAGGCAGGAGAATCGCTTGAATCTGGGAGGTGGAGGTTGCAGTGAGCCGAGATCATGCCACTGTACTCCAGCCTGGGTGACAGAGCGAGAGTCTGTCACAAAAAGAAAAGAAAAAAAAAAAAAAAAAAAAAAAAAAGAGTTGTTCCTGGTTGTTGGTGCTAACCATCAAAATAAACCCAAGAATCTTCCCTTCTACCCAACATCCTGGGACAGAGAGACCTCCTGAGATAAAACTGGAGTGGCGGACTAAGCAAGGGTTTGGAACAAAGATGGGCACGACGTCCTCTTCCCTGATTCCTGGGCAACACAGGTGTCGTGAGGGCAGAGTCCAGAGACCCAGGCTGTGATAACTACAGCAATTAGAATAATTACATCATGGCCAGGCGCGGTGGCTCATGCCTGTAATCCCAGCACTTTGGGAGGCTGAGGTGGGTGGATCACGAGGTCAAGAGATCAAGACTATCCTGGCCAACATGGTGAAACCCCGTCTCTACTAAAAATACAAAAATTAGTTGGGCATGGTGGCATGAGCCTATAGTTCCAGCTACTCGGGAGGCTGAGGCAGGAGAGTTTCTTGAAACCGGGAGGCGGAGGTTGCAGTGAGCAGATATCCCGCCACTGCACTCCACACTCCAGCCTGATGCCTGGTGACAGAGCAAGACTGTTCCAAAAAAAAAAAAAAAAAAAAAAGAATTATGTCACTATCCTTCACTTATGAGAGTGAAGCAGAGTCTAACAAGCTTATTATCTGGTACCATCACCTGAATCCCAGTCTGCAATTTCCTAGCTGCATGACCCTAAGCAAGTTACCTAACCTCTCTGATCTGTGGACAGAGAGATGCATACTTCGTGGGTGTGTTGCATGTCAAATGCCTGGCCCACGGTAGGTACTCATGAAATAGTAGCTGTTACCATTACAGGGCATAAGTTTCTCAGGCTAAAAAGCACACTCATACCCAGTAGCGAAAAAGCTCTGTGAGGTCAGCAGGGCCTCAACTGTTATGCTCTTGAGCTCACAGAGGGAAAATGCCCAAGAGCATCTGCTAATCGGAGATGGAAGGTGACCTGAACCCAGGTCTCCCGGCTCTGCCCATGGCACTCTGAGGGAGACAGCCCTGGGCTGAGACAGGTCCCAGGACAGCAGCACTGGCCCACCCTGGGGAAGAAGACCTGGTCTAAGCCCAACACCAGGCAGAGGTGGGCAGGCTGTGTGGGCAGGGGAACTCAGCATCATGGTGAGAGGACGGCTGGGGAGAGCTGCTGGCTGGGGCAGGAATGAAGGCTCTGGGGTCTGGGGTGGAGAAGAGGTAGACCCGAGGATCTGGTCTGGGTGCTGGGCGCGGGGACATGATGTGAGCGGGAGCTGAGGGGGCTGGGAGTTGGACAGAAATCCAGTCATTGGAATG